GATAAAGGAGAGTTATCGACGGACAACTACCTGGTCACAGGCCCATTTCGCGAGAAATACCTCCGCCACAATCTCACCCTGTCTGCGAAGTCACCAACAAACCCTCCAACCCGGCCTCGTCAAGCTAGGAATACCAGATCTTCGAATAATGAGACAGAAGTTTGCGATAAGTTCAATACGACAGGGTGCACCTGGGAAGGCTGTAAGAGACGTCATGAGTGCACAGCATGTGGCCTAAGCGAGCATGGCGCCTCCTCCTGCCGCAAGAAGAAATAGCAAGTGACAGCCCTTGAGAACTGCACTAGTGACACCGACAACGTTGTTCTCAATCCCCTATCCCTAAGCCTCATACCACAGGGGCAACCACCCAGACCAAACACTGCTGTTCAATACCCTGTTTTCAACCCAGAGCTCCCAAGGCTACAGTCCTCTCCGTCGCCACTGCATGCGAAAGGCTGGAGCAATCTTCTACGCTACTACCCGGGCGATCTCGGGTCCACTATCGCTGGCATTCTGACCTACGGTGTTCAGGTCGGCTATAGGGGCAAGAAGCAGTTTCGCTATTCCTCCAACCATCACATACATGAACCCGGCATGATCACGGCCAAACTAGCAGAGGATCTCAGCCTCGGTCGTGTTAGACTAGCCTCTAGGCCCTCCTTCGTTTCACCGCTTGGGTTAGTCCCTAAGCACGACGGGGGATGGCGCCGCATCCATGATCTATCCTGGCCCCCTGGACAGGGCCTTAACCAGGGCATACCGGACTCCTGGTCAGCTATCGAATACATGACAATCGACGACATATACGAGCAGGTCATACAAGCTGGCCCAGGTTGCACAATAATCAAGAGGGATATCAAGGACGCCTTCCGAATAGTCCCCGTTGCCGAGGATAACCAGCACCTCCTTGCCTTCCAGTGGACCGATTCCACTTATGTCGAATGCTGCCTCCCCTTTGGCCTCGCAACGGCCCCGTTTCTCTTCAACCTCTTCGCCGAGGCACTCCATTGGATACTCCAATGCCTCCTCCCTGCATTCCATATCAATCATTACCTAGACGACTTCATCACAATTACTCAGTCTCCCTCAGTGTCCGACCCCACGGGTCTTTTTGATGAGGTTTATAACAGAGTCACCGACTATCTACGTATTCCTCGCAATACACAAAAGGACCAGCAAGGGACCTGTGTTACAGTCCTAGGTATCCAGATCGACTCTATTGCAATGGAAGCTCGTCTGCCGCCAGAAAAGTTGTGCCGCGCCACATTGGACGCCGCAGCTGCCCTGAACGCAGCGAGTCTCTCCGTCAAGCAAGCAGAGCGCCTCACAGGCTTATTAGCCTTTTGTTCAAGAGTTGTCCGACTTGGAAGAACAAGATTACAGTCTCTATACACCTTCCAAGCCGCTTTCCCACATGGGAGTAGTGCGCGCCGCCGTATCCCTTACGAGATACGTGACGATTTGGAATGGTGGAGGGACTCCTTGTCTCTCTTCAACGGCGTACTCCTAATTGACCCCTGCCGCCGCCCCATCACGCATCTCTACACAGATGCCTCTAGTATAGGCCAGGGGCTCTTCTTCTTCTCATCCCAGTCTACATTAGACTGCTGGCTGGCCCATTGTCACCAGCTTCATCCAAGCAATGCTGCCACATTGGCCCTTGCTGAAGACGCACATGCGCACATCAATACCAACGAAGTAGACGCTATTCTACAAGGCTTCCTACTCTTCAGCCACCATTGGCTCCATCATACTCTCGTTATCCACACGGATAGCTCCACAGCGCACACGGGACTCAAGAAAGGCTTTCTTCATGGTCCGCCTAACGCACCTCTGAAGAACCTGCTTATCCTAGCGGCAGCGAGAGACATCCACATCGTGCCACACTGGCTCCCCTCCGGCGAAAATACATTAGCAGACGCGCTCTCACGTAACAAACTTGAAGACATTGCTAACATTTGTCCCCATTGGCAGGACCTCTCGGTATTGAACCGCCCGCGTGGTTCTCTTCACGAGCTCCTCAGCTCAATGCCGGCCACCTAAAACTGCTCTGGAACGGACTCAGTGCTCTGGAACGAACTCAGCGCCAACACACGTTCCGTTTACCTCTCCGTTCAGCGCAGCTACGAAAAGCACTGCGCGCTACAAAATTTCTCCGCATGGCCAGTGTCAAGACATTCATTAACCTCATGGCTAAGCTCACGACTCCTTGGTAACGCCAGCCAAAAGGCCGTCAAGCCTGACACCGCACTCGCCGACCTAGCCGCTCTCCGAGCCTACCATATCGATAATTTCCTTGACGATAAACTCTTCGATAACAAGCACTTTCGACGTCTCATAGACGGTGCGCGAAGACTCAACCCCATCACAAAAGTACGGGTCAGAAAACCTATTTCGCGTGACACTATTACGAAACTATCTGCGGGCCTCGCCGCACTCCCGTCACGGCCCTTGGAGATGTCTGCGAACCTTCTAGACGACTTAAACTTCGCAACCGCGTGCCGGGTAGCATTTGCTGGATTCCTCCGCCTCGGAGAATTCACCTACACGACTGAAGACCTGAGCACACATTCTATCTTCTCAGCCACACAGTTAACTCGCTCCGAGACCGCCGCCACGAAGGGGTCCAAATTATTCTTGCAAAGACGGGAGACAGCGCTTGCCCAGTTGATGCCCTTCAGAAGCTGTTACTTGTCGATCCCAGAGGGCCCGACGCCCCCTTGTTCTCCTTCCACAGAAGACCATTCAGTCGCAACAACTTCCTCTCGACCTTATCTACTAAGCTAAGAGCGCTTGGACTACGGACAGAGGGCTACTCCGGTCACAGTTTTCGGAAGGGCGCAGCTCAGCATGCGCACGATAGTGGGATACTCGACGACCAGATTCAGATGCTAGGGAGATGGACCTCAGAGTCCTTCAGGTTGTATTTTACGGCGAACACGTCAGTTTTGTACAAGCTCAATCACCAGTTCCAGACAGGCTCGCCGGCCCCGCTGTCTCTGCTGCTTCACCACCGTCCCCTCCACCATCCTAGTTTGGCCGGGTCATTTGGGCCCTATCTGACGCTACGGTCTACGACCGCAGCGACAGGTGACCCGTTATGGCCAAACTACACTCTTCTTGCTCCTCTTGACTGCGTGAGGTCACCAATAAAGGGAGTAGTTTTATTGGGGTTGCCTCACAATGCCCGTAGCCTCACGTGATATCTACACCGACATTACTGATGGCCTCTTCCTCCTACAACTGCCTCACGAGAGTCAGTTGCTTGCCTCTGCGGGTAGCTCGTCATCTCTCACGCAGTCAAGTCTTGATTTTGTCCCTCCCGCCTTCCCTCTGTATATAGAATCCACTACAATACAGACATATTGCCTCCCTACAAGGGAGCGCGAACGGGCCCTATCTGACGCTACGGTCTACGACCGCAGCGACAGGTGACCCGTTATGGCCAAACTACACTCTTCTTGCTCCTCTTGACTGCGTGAGGTCACCAATAAAGTACCACTTTTCAAGCTTTTTGAGGTTTTCTGCCGAGTATTTCCGGTAAAAAGCAAGATATATATTAACAGCCATACAAAAGGACCATAATGAGTCCGTTGGCATCCAGCTTCAATCACAAAAATTAGAGTCTGCAAAAGTGGCATAGAGGGTTAGGGACATACTATTGGATGAAGAATGCTTGTGCTAGACATAAGGCAGAATTCTGGCCCTCTATAACTCCATCCCTGCTCATCAGTGACGCAACGGCGGAGAAAATATTTCCAAACGATGCATAAAAGATTAACCTGTTGACCGGCTTGCGAAAGGCGGTAGAAGCACAAAAAGTCGTTATAATAAACGCACAGCCCAGCAGAGAAGAGCTACCTCCTACTCTTTCTGCTATTGAGATAGCTCGAAGTTGCTCGTCGGTCAAAGCCATGGCGTTGGTCTAACTCTTGAAACTGCCTGGAAGGTAGATCCGCAACCTTATAGGTCGTTCGGACTGTGACGAAGAAAGTCTACACTAGTAGTACCGGGTTGAGAAAAGCACGTGGTGGCGATAAAGGTAGGTAAAGCCCCCGAGAATAACTATTCGCCAAACCAGCCGCTTGCACTTAATGTACCACGAACCAAAAGGCATGACTAAGCCGAAACCTGGGGTGGACTCTACAGGCCGAAAACTTATTGCTAGGTTCACCTACCGATTACAAGCCAAAGGCAGAAGTTGGGTACCAGCCATAAAGCCATAAAGCCCGTGCTACCTAGAAGAAGCTTGAGACGTAAAATCTAACAAATTCAATGCTCGTGGCAGTTCCCCCAACAACCGTTCGTTCCTAACGTATTTACCGCTCCGCACGAATCGAATCGAATCGAACTTTTGCCTGATTCGATTCGATTCGAATTTGTTGAGTATCGCGGTGGTCAAAGCTTATGGCAGGACTAGCGATGGACATTTAAATAGACGGGGTTCCCACTTTTGATAGTAACCAAAAACAAGAACACTACAACTACCTATCTCAACAGGTTATGAGCCCGGGTGGCTTTACCTTTGGGCACGCAGGCATATAAAAAAAAAAAAAATCCTTTCCCTGCCATTACAGCTAAGCTTCTCTATCAGAAACTAACTCCATGAACTTCAGAAACTGATCATATATTCTCAGTAACTTGATGAACAGTATGAAGTTCTATTGCTCAAAACCCTCTCGAAGCAATAACCTGGATGAACTTCCATTCACTGAAGACTTACAGACAGCATGCCATCAATGCTACTGTTACACTGTCACACTGGCACGGAGTATCGCAGGGTTGTCCCCATAGCCAGGACATGTCACCGTTTGCAGCAAGCCTCGGGAGTTTCTCCGGCAAATAGCCATAGACAGTATGCCATTATTGCTACGGTTACACTATGAAACTGGCATGAGGTACCGCAAATGTTACCTACTGCCGGGACATGTCACCATTTGCAGCAAACTCGGTAACCATCTTCTCAGAGTCACCAGCCACAATGCCATTTCGGAAGAAAAATGCGGAAAACACTACAAAAGAGACACTCTTGGACGGACGAGGAGCTGAACATCCTCTCATACCTCCGATACACTCGCCATTGGCGCTTCAAGAATATCCAAACGTCCTACTTCCCATCACTTTCTCCGAACGCACTCTTGGGAGCCTACTGGCGCCTGTCCACCGAAGACCGCATACGCCGAGCATCGAGGATCACCACCTCAATCATCGCTCCTCGCAACACTGGAGAAAACCTCTCAGGTTCCCCCCAAGCTCAACCCACATGTTCCAGTATCGCAAAGGGGACAAGTTGCTATCGCACTCTTGCTCGGTCGGAAAACAACATTGAGACTTTGGCCTTCACCCCACCAAGCCCTTCGGGTGGAGGGGATCCATTCATTTCCGACAACAGCAATTCGAGTCGTTACAAACTCAGGCCAAACAGACCCTCAATCTTCCCTCCAAGGAAGCCGGGATATCTTGTTGACCGACGCCGTTTCCCCCACTTCTTTAGATCGTACAAGTACTCTCTCAATCTACAAGGAGTCCCGGACAGCGACTATACTCCTCCATCTCGGATGCCTACGCCAAGTTCATCAGATCGAAGCGTTTCCATCGTCTCAAGTCTTCCCAGTGCCGCGTCAAGCCTTGAACTCTTTGGCTTGGAGGTGCGCTCGCCTCAGTCATCAAATAGTGAATCGGTTACCTCTGATCGGCCCAACGACATATCTAGCCCTGAATTCTTCAGCTCCGAGGAGCATCCTTTGCCGACATGACTGAAATCACAAAGTTTGAGCAATTCGGAATCAATACGTTCTATAACGGAATCCCAACATTAGATAATGCCAGCGACTGGTTTCGGTGGAATCAGAAGGTCAATGAGTTCATTCGGATATCTGCGGTTGCCGACGATGGAGCGACTCCACCGATAGAAGAGGAAGAAGCACGGCAATGGATTCACCGCCAAAATTTCTATTCTGCGATGATCACGGCAAAGCTGACACACAATGCGGCGCAAAGAATCAATGCCTTTGAGATTCCTCGAGTCCAAGTACTGCTTAAGGCAGTCAAGGAAAACTTCAAACCAGAAGGCTCAGGCACGTATGTTAACCTCCAACGGCGATACATGGCCCTTACAAGAGACAAGTGTGGGAGCACTCAAGCCCTCGGAGCAGAGATCAGGAAGATCCATGCTGAAAAACTCCTCCTTGACTCTGATTGCGTACCTCCGAAATTGAGCGAACATTTTTCTTCGTGCATGCACTCGGTCCGGAGTACGAGAGCTTCCGCGATCATATCTTCCGGCAAATGGACCTTGTCAATGAAAGAGACGCAAATGGGACCGTCACGAAAGCGGCGCCCACGTTTGACTATATCGAGAATAAGGCAATTGAGGAAGAGCATAGGAAGGGGCAATTGGGTAAACAAGCAATGGAGACGCAAGCACTTCCTGCTCTTGCTCTAGTCCGTGGGCCAGGTGACAAGAAACTCATCCCGTCGTCGGACGGAACTACTTGTCGAATCGAGATCGATAACGTCCCATATTGCTCCTTCTGCCGAAAACCTTATCACGTTGACTCCGAATGTTTCACCAAGAATCCGAAACAGAAACAGAAAGACGGAGATGGACCGAAGCCAAAGCCAGGCAGGATGCATACGGGCACACGCAAACAGTTGAAGAAGCGGCCTTCGACGGATGACGAGGATGATGATGCCGGTGGTCCAAAGGATCCAAAGAAACCAACTTTCATGGCGACGAGAGTCTCCGAGAAAGATGTCAACGAAGCATTTGGAAACGATATCGAGGGCAATTTCGCCCTGTCCGACCATATTCCCATAATGATGGCGATAAAAACCCTCTCTATTCGCGACGCGTGGATCGTGGATAGTGGATGCGCTCAGCACGTCTGCAATAGTGCCTCGAGGTTTGTCCAAATGGCCAAGTACCATGGCCCCTCACTTACAGGCGTTGACGCCTCAACGGCTCCCTCAGGAGTGGGAACAGTGAATATCCTTTGCAATGTACGCGGCAGAAAGAAATGGCTTGTGCTTGATAACGTCCTCTATGTTCCATCTGCACACGCCAATCTCATATCGGTGCTCCAGCTTCTCAAACGAGGAGCAAAGGTCGAATTCTCAAGCCGGAGTGCTATCATTCGCAACAAGTCAAACGAAAAGAATCTATATACTGCCAACGAATATCATGGAGTCTACGTACTCGATCTGTGGACAAGTCTGACTTTTCCCTCTTACCATGTTAGCCCGCAAATGTCTCTGTGGCACAATCGGCTTGCTCATATGAGTGATGCAAATCTTCGGCGACTCAAAAAGCAGGCTCACGGTGTTCGGGACATGGAGCCACGTCATCCATGCAATTCGTGTCTGCAGGGGCGAATGATCGAAAAACCCCACCGCAGATCAGGAAATAGCAGGAGAGGAGAACACGCAATGGAGCTCCTCCATATTGACGTTGCAGGGCCATTTGACGAGGGCCTTGACGGCAGTCGTTACTGGCTCACCATCGTTGACGATTTCACGGGCTGGATCGAGATTATCCCTATACCACGAAGACAAGAGTTCGTCATAGAATCACTACGGTTCTTCCTCGACCACAATGAGCGCCCCGAACGAAAATGCAGGCGAATACGTCTCGACAGAATATCTGAACATGTGGGAGACGAGATGAAGTTCATGTTGTTCTCGCGCGCAATTCAAGCCGAGGTGACAGGAGTGGATCAACACCAGCAGAACGGGGTCGCTGAAAGAGCCCACAAGACAATTTATGATCGGGTTAGGCCTACCTTAGCACATGCGAGGTTGCCGTCTACATTCTGGCCGGAAATTGCTCGAACCGCAGCGTTCCTCTCCAACCGGTCGCCGTCATCGAAGCTCAACATGACTCCGTACCAAGCGTGGTATGGCGACAAGCCTGACCTATCACGACTCAGAGTGATCGGATCCAAAGGGGAATACTTGATCCCGCCAAAGCAAAGAAAGAAGCTTACGGATCCGCGAACAAGGCCATGCATTTTGCTAGGCTATGAAGGAAATACCAACTACCGTATCCTCCTGGAAGACGGTAGAATCGTTGGGACTCCAAACGCCGAATTTCACGAAGTCCTTACAGCTCCCTCCACACAGACTATAGAAGATGTGGGAGCCAGACAAGACGGCTTACCTGAGGCAACGGCTGCTGCCGCAGGGGGGAGTGAGACGGTGGGACTAATAAATCAACCGTCGGTAGGCATACGGCAAGCATCCGTGCCTGCTTCGGGGCGCCAATTGTCAATGGCACCATCGGAGCGGGCCCTACCTAAGCCGAGAAACGATATCTCGCATATACTGCCTCGGAGTAACGATAACTCGCGAGTGCTTACCCAGCCGAGTAACGATAACTCGCAAACCCCAGCGTCGTCTCAATCGAGTAACGAAGACTCGCAGCCAGCTGTTACTGTACAGGGAGACAGGACCTTGTCGTCCATACGGAGTGACGATGCCCTCGGACCCCTATCACCTGCTTATCAGGATTCTGTCCTTGGGATTGACTCACCACCCGGTGGCGACCAGCAAGAAGACGACGCTCAACAAGGGCTAAGTTCAGGAGAATGGCAACGATATCCAGAACTCCAACTTGAACTTGACAACCCAGTTCATGAAGTGCAACAAGGAGCACTAGATCATCACCCTGAAATGAAGATTCGTGCTCCACAAGTCACACTAGACACGTCTGATGAGAGCGAAGAAGAACTTGCACTAATGAATATACCCGAAGAGAACATCATCCCAACACTCTTAACGGTAGCTGCAGAGGAAACAGAACCTTTTGAGCCAAAGAATCTGCATCAAGCGAAGAACGACACAAGCTGGCTCGAATGGAAAAGGGCAATGCTTGAAGAAGTGAACTCACTCAAGCAAAACAAAACGTGGGAGCTTGTTGATCCCCCCAAAGACCGGCGAGTTCTCAGTGGAAAATGGGTCTTCAAACTCAAACGAGGACCTCACGGCAAAGTACTCCGCCATAAGAGCAGATGGGTGGTGAGAGGCTTCACACAAGAAGACGGTATTGACTATGATGAAACCTTTGCCTCGGTTGTCAAGCCAATGAGCTACAAAGCCCTCTTCGCAATCGGAGCGGCCCTAGACTTCGAGATCGAGCAAGTGGATGTCAAAACCGCATTCTTGTACGGACATATAGACCACGAGATCTACGTCGAACAGCCCCATCGCATGACGGATGGCACTCCAAGGGTCTGCAAGCTTCGAAAAGCTCTCTATGGATTAAAGCAGGCTCCTCGCATCTGGTACCAGACCCTCACGAACTTCCTGCGCAATCTTGGCTTCGAGCCAATCACCGCCGATCTTGGTATCTTCGTTCGGAGCAATATGTACATCGCGGTATATGTTGATGATCTCCTGATCGTGGGTCCGAGTATCGCAGAGATCAAGAAGATCAAGCGGAGCCTAAGGAACCGTTTTCAGATGACAGATCTGGGCCCATGCAGCTACTACCTTGGGATATCCATCCAGCGGGACCGCCAAAACAGGAAACTGTCCCTCAGTCAAGAAGCATACATTGACAAGGTTGCTCATCAATTTGATATTGGCAACTGCGCTCCCATCGGCACGCCGATAGAAACCTCACCGCTTCCAGAGAACAGTCCAGACTATACGTGCCCTCCAGATCAGAGGACATCTTACCAACGCATGGTCGGATCTCTGATGTACATTATGCTTGGAACCAGGGGGGACATCGCGTACGCAGTCTCTGTGGCGAGTAGGTCTCTGGCAAATCCTGGGCCCCAACACATAAAACTCGCTCAACGCATCCTGCGGTACCTCAGAGGAACCAAGAGCCTCAGACTCGCGTACAAGGGTCAGCCTCAGAAACTGAAAGGCTTCACAGATGCAGATTGGGGAGGATGTCGTGACACGAGCCGATCAACAGCTGGGTATCTCTTCAATATTGGAAGTGGGGCCATCAGTTGGCAATCGAAACGCCAGGGCATCGTTGCCCTCTCAACGTGCGAAGCCGAATTTCTAGGGCAGACACAAGCCACCAAAGAAGCAGTCTGGTTGAGAAGGCTTCTCAACGAATTGAATATGAATCAAGGATTAAACGCCACGATCATCTGCGGGGATAACCAAGGGGCCATTGCTCTCTCCTCGAACCCACAATACCACTCTCGCACAAAACATATGGAAATCCAACGCAAGTGGCAGGGAGAGGTCCAAGACAACGGAACAGTGAAGCTCAAATATATCCCAACCACAGAACAAATTGCTGATGGGTTCACCAAACCCCTTGCTCGGGAAAGATTTGAGTGGTTTCGGAAAGGGCTTGGCGTTGAGTGATTGCTACACCTTATTTGTATTGAACAAGACTAAGGCGCAGGGTACCCTTTCCTTCCTTTCTTAAATGAAGTTTTTGAAGGTTTTGATGGGACCCGTCACAACGGCGATCACATAGTCACTGACACCATTGGTGATGGTGGCCATCGAGTGGGAGTGTTGAGTATCGCGGTGGTCAAAGCTTATGGCAGGACTAGCGATGGACATTTAAATAGACGGGGTTCCCACTTTTGATAGTAACCAAAAACAAGAACACTACAACTACCTATCTCAACAGAATTAATATTGAAAATAACGATTCGTACGAATTCGAATTCATGACCGGTTCGAATTCGATTCGGTGTTCGCGAACTTTTTTGTATTAAATCCTCATTGGGAAGGCGGTAAACCAAGTCGGGCAGTACCTGTAGTTGAACACCATCAGTTATAAGCAGCAATCGACACCAGACTTGTAGTCTAATAAACAACCCTTATTAAGTTAACAGGTACAGATATAACTAAGCTGAGGTTGGTCTTTGATATAAAATTTAAACGATTTGGCCTTGGATCGAATAAGCTGTAGGGCAGTATCAATATAGCCGTGTCACGGGACGACCCCCAACCCTCCGGGTAGGGGGTGTCCCACAGCCATAATGCAATTAACAGCCATAATGCAAATTTTCAATTTCTTCAACTTCTAGCTCACTTTTTAGACGTATAAGGTCCAGAATCCATGAAATAAAGCCCATCAATAGCCTCATTAGCCAATAATGTATCAACCTCCTCATTTTCAAGTGTTTCCTCCAATTCCTTAGCCGCCAAATCGGCCGCCATTTTCTCTGCGTCTTTCCGCCAAGCACGAAGCTTCGACTCATCTTCTTTCTCACACCTTCGCTGTACTAGCCTATTGCCTGAAATCGATGAAAGGGGACTCTTTGTAGCACCCTTCACCCATCGCTTGCTTTTTGTAGGTTTTTTCCCAGGCGTTTTATGGCTAAGGGCGCGCGCAAGACTCATCTCAGCAAGTTCCGCATTGTATAGAGACGATTTTCCGGCATCAATTGCGCGCCGTAGATGCTTCCGAATTTTATGTAAATCAGGATTCGGGTTATCAAGTAGCGGGAAAACTGTCTTCTCCAATTTTTCAATACGCGCATAAGAATTGGGCGGAGAATTGGTCGCTGAACTTGGGAATTCGCGGGTGGGTGACGGCTCGTCGTACATACGTAAGGTCTCTTCGTCCGAATACTGCCCTAAATTACCCAAAACTTGTGTCGGATCTAGTGGCCAGATACCAGTAGATTTAAACGAGGTTTGGATAGTTTTGGACTTTAAGGCGTGGCGTCGGACGGCGTCAATATTGCGGAAAAAATCGCGTTTTTCGTTGCTTCCACCCCACGCCACAACCTCAGTATTCGCCATTTTAAACTCATGTTTTAGGCTTAAAAAAGCCTCAGCATCAAGGGGCTGACATATATGAGTCGTGTGAGGTACAAAATACCAAGGAATAATCAGGTTTTCCTTACAAAAATCGAGAAATTCGATAGTTGTATGAGACGTATGATTATCCATTAGCAAAAGCCTCGGTCGCCCACGTCGTACGCGGTTTTTTGTGGCTTCATGAAATGAGCATAGCCATCGGTAAGCAGTCTCACTATCCGTCCAGCCACTAGACGTTAAGTGGATAATTTTGTACGCCGAAGAAGAGGTTGACATATTACTATACTAGTCTTCTATGTAGACGCTACCTTTGACTAGAAACCACGGAAACATCACCCAGCCATCAGCGGCAATACATTCAATGCTAGTAATAGTTTCACCTCGATCTCTAGTAGCAATACTAGCAGTTTGGCGCGTAGAGACGACGTGTTGGTTAAGTCCTTCGCTATTTTGGAAGCCGGTTTCATCCCAATTATAGATCTCATGAGGTTCAAAACCATGCTCACGGTAGAGACACTCAAGCCTATCATACCAATGGCTAATAACTCCAGGGTCCTCAGCTTGAATTCGTAAAGACTCCTTTGATTTTTGGGTAATAAGCTTGATGTGTGGAGGTAGACGCCGTATAAGCCGATAGCTATACATTGAACTAACAACTCTCTCCGAACCCGCTATTTTCAACAGGCGATTTGCGGCAATTTCAATATATTTTGCAGTTGGAGGTGTATAGCAAGAATTTAGCACTTCGATCCAGCTAATTAATGCATTTTCCTGATTCGAATTCAATGCATTATTGGTGGTAGGGCGATCGGAGAGAGATGTCTGTCCGTTTTTGCGACCGCGAAGCTTCGAATAAGACACGCGATAATGGTCCGCAGCCTTACGTAGAGATGAAAATTTTCGCGTAGTATAAGCATATAATGCCTTAGCTAGCAGATCCTCTTCATCACGAGCTTTTTTAGGCATTTTTGGTGGGTAGAAATACGCGTAAAAGTTGAAAAGGTAGGAAATTTGCATTATGGAGGTTAATTGCATTATGGCTGTGGGACACCCCCTACCCGCGAGGGTGGGGGGCGGTCCTGTGACACGGCTACATGGGTTTTCGCCAGCTACGTCCATGCACATAATATATATTCTTTACCCCTAAGTTTACTCAGTAAGAACACAACCTTATTTATAGTCGGTTTCGCTTCAAATTTAGATTATCTCATAGATCCCCTCGAGATACACGTAACACATCAATATACCCCTTCGCTGAAAATACAGGATCCCCAAATGCCTGGAACTCTCGCAGAAACAGTTGATCAAAAGGCAGAGGCATTCCGGATTGCCTTCTTCCCCAAACCGCCGCCAGCCGATCTATCCGACACGGACTCATTCCAGTACCCACAGCAAATCGAGTTTCCAGCAGTCACCGCTCAAGAGATACAGGAGGCGGTGCGAGGAGCGAAAGCAGGGAAAGCACCCGGAGAAGACGGTATACCAAACTCTCTCTGGCACAAGCTTATCGAGATACCGGTGGTTCTAGCAACAATGGTCCAGTTATTCAACGCATGCATAAACACGGGATACAACCCGTCACATTTCCAGCGCTCAATCACGGTGGTGCTCCGGAAGCAAGGCAAAAGTGACTACCAGCTCGCAAAATCCTACAGACCCGTCGCGTTGCTGAACACGCTCGGAAAGTTTCTGGAGGCAGTTGTCGCGCGACGGATCAGCTACGCAGCAGAAACCAACGGTTTACTCCCACGAAACCATCTAGGCGGGCGAAAGGGCATATCCACCGATCATGCTATCCACACTATCATCGACCGAATCAAGACTGCATGGGGAAAGGGCAAGCCAGTGGTATCTCTGCTGATGCTGGACGTGTCCGGAGCGTACGACAATGTCTCCCATGAACGTCTACTACACAACCTCAAGAAACGTCGCTTGGGACATTTCGTTCCCTGGGTGAGGGCCTTCTTGACCAATCGAAGCACAAGGATCCGCATGCCCGAGGGCACATCCGATCGAATCCTGACACCTACAGGCATCCCTCAAGGATCACCGATCTCACCCATTCTATATCTCATCTACAACGCAGACCTCGTTGAGAACTGCAGCAACGGTGTGACAAGCAACGGGTGGGTCGACGATGTTTGCTTCATGACAAAGGGAGACAGCGAACGCGAAACCATCAAGAAACTCAGAGCGGCATGCCGCAAAGCCGACCAATGGGCCGAGAAACATGCATCAGTTTTTGACCCGAAGAAGTATGCACTCGTGCATTTTGTAAACACCAGGGAAGTCGACCCACAACACACATCGCTTTCTCTACGAGGACACACGGTGACAGCCACGAGGACGGCTGAGCGGTACCTAGGCTATTGGCTGGATCCGGGTCTGGAATTCCACCATCACCGCGAGAAAGCGGTGGCCAAGGCCGGTGTCTCTCTCCACGCACTACGAAGCCTGGCAGGATCAACGTGGGGAGCCTCACTCTATGCAATGCGAAAGATCTACCAAGCGGTGATAATCCCGCAGATGCTCTTTGGGGTTTCCGCGTGGTATCAACCTATGCTCATCAGTCATTCCAAGGCACGCATAATCAGTCGGCCTTTCGTGGCAATCCAGAAGCAGGCAGCATGTCTCATCAGTGGAGCTTTCAGAACTACGGCAGCAGAGGCACTGAATGCAGAGCTTCACCTACCGCCTATTTCTGTTCACATGAATCGACTGGTGAAAGAAACGGCCCTTCGACTACGGACAGGACCAAAGTTCGCTGTCCCGCCAACGATGTTACGTCGACGACCGGCAGATGAGAGAGACTGGGCTGGATGGTCACCGATGGAGGCGCAAGCTTGGAAGGCGGGCGGATGTCTTATGGCTCCCCCGGATACTTTGACGAGGAAATGGGAGAGTCGAAAGGCATTCGTCCTGGCACCATGGCAAGCGCCACCAGAGGTAATCATCGAGGAAAGAGAAGCTGCGGTGAACAATCACAACCAGATCCTGATGAAAGACCCAAGAGAAAGACCCTTGATTCTGTACACCGACGGGAGCGGAATTGATGGAAGGATCGGAGCGGCAGCGGTCGTGGACCTTGAGGATCAACATGCTCATAGCCAGATGGGAGATGATAATACGTCCACCGTATATGCGGCAGAGCTTCGAGCCATTGAGATGGCACTTGAAATGGTTCTGGAAAGCACAGAGCCATGGGCTAAGCAGGCGAAAAACGGGGTAGTCATCTTTGTAGACAGCCAAGCAGCGCTGAAGGCGCTGAGACGACCGCGGATGCCGTCAGGACAGGTCTATCTAGCAGGATGCCTCAACCTGATCCGACAACTTGCGGGCAGAAGCATTCGGACAGAACTCAGATGGATTCCTGCGCACCAAGGAGTCATTGGCAACGAGATCGTGGACCAACACGCAAAAGAAGCGGCGCAGGAACAGGACGGGCTGCATAACCCCCTCAACCGAGACATATGTCTCGCAGCCGCAGCGAGACGACGAATTCGCAGAGAAGCGAAGCTGGAGTGGGACAGAACGTGGGCCAAGGAAGCGACCAGTCGTCCGACGAAACGCTTGATTGAAGCACC